TGCCTCCCGGAGGCTGCCCCTGCTGCCGCCCACCACAACAGCACCCACGAGAAAAAAGAACAGTAGCCTCGCTCCAGCACGTACCAAGCATCCAGGTGATTTCTGCTCCTCCCCACCAGCCCAGCGGCAGGCGGGCAAGAGCCCAGCACCTCCTCTCTCGCTGGCAGAGCTTCCTCAACGAGGAGCCTTTCCAATGAAGCAGGTTTACACCCGCGACGCCGTGGGAAGAAGCCCCGCGGTACTGCGGAATCTGGCCCACCACATTTGTTTTAATGCTTTAAACAGATAAATTAAAGTGAAATGTGTCTTTTAGGATGTCACTGAATAGGCAAGCTGAGAAATAAATTGAGCTTCACGTATGCTTTTATAACACATAACAACTGTGACTGTCAACACAAGATCCTTTTCACTGTCGATTCACCACGCATTCTGCGAGACCTTGAGGCCTGCAATTATTTCATTTCCTTTCTTGTAAATGCAATTTCCACTTAGTTTGGTGGAATAAAAGGTAGACAAAAGGTGGTAGGAGTTGCTGTATTTTCTGATTAAGGTTATCTGTTCAAAATTGTAGAAATCCACAAACTACAAAGTATTTTTCAGGAACAACCTCACCTTTCTCTCAGGGCAGCAGTTCAAGCAAATGCAATGGCATTATTCATCTCCAATTAAGTGCTGAACAAATCTTCATCTTTCTGATTAAATTAAAATGAAGATCACCTTTCTTCTAAGGATACTTAAATGAAATAAAAGGGGAAAATACATACGATTGGAAAAGGCATTCTGCTTTTAAAACTCAGTGCGAATGAAATAAAACCGGAGGGCACAAAAGGAAATTGGGCTCTTTATCCATTCAAAAATACATGATAAAAGTACCCGCAGGAGAGCGAAGTAAGAATCGGCTCACAGAACCAGCTCATGCATCGTGACTTATTCCTTTGAACCCCGCGACGAAGCCTTGCTAGAACTGGTACCGGTGGCATTTTTTAACTGACAGAACAGGAAATCAGAGGTTTAATTAGCCATGATTACAATATTCTGCCGATGTGATCCGTCTCATCTATTTCCTTTTCTTGAGCGACAAGCTGACAACCAACCTGGCACTGAAGCAAGTGCACTGCCTAATTCCAAAAGGAGCTTGGTCCTGTCGTAAAACGAACCAATCCTCCAGGGGATCGGTCTGAAATCAGTATTTTTGAAGCAGGTTTAACTCTTTGATGCTGAACTGGCACCTTGAGTCTTCAGCCTGTTGTAACGAAAGATTCTTCTGCCCATCTGTGCAAAGGCAGCACTAACTGTATTGGGTATTTTTCTTTTAAAAAAAAAAAAAATCTTAATCTTGAGATTTCAAGGAAATTCAGAATTTTTACCAAGAAACATTGCAGAGTAACAGTCAGGACTTGCTGCTGGAGCAAAACAACTGCCCTGCACACCTGCATACAGACCAATGAGACTTACGTGATTCTATTTTTTAAAATATTGTGCTAGAAGTACCTTTTTTTTTTCCAATCAAGAGTTAACCATATACCTATTAACCCTCTTCAGGATATGGAAAAACCCCTCAACCTTGCCATTCCTCAAAAACTCTTGGGTGCTTTTTTTTGGCCGAGACAATGAAATTTTTTGAAGAAGAATGTTCGCAGATTTTACAGGAAAAGAACTGTATTGTGGAGAATGCAATTTCTGCCTCCAGGTGAGACTGCAAATTACTTGAGGAGTCAGTGGTAAACAGCTGTACATTTACCCCGTTAACCAAAACTGATGTTAAATCACTTCAAAACGCACCAGCTAAAGAGATCTAGTAGGAAAACACATCTAGAAATAAGTTACTTACTGTAGTGTGGGCTTGGAGCCCGTGACACCCTTCAGCTGGTCAGAGACAGGACCCGTGTCAGGCCCTTTGGAACCGAATTCCGTCTCCAGGTCTTTCTTGTTCAACGCTGTTTGTGCGGCACCTAGCACAGGCAGAGATTTAGATTCCGAGGTGGCCAAGGTTCCAGTGGGACCTAAAACCCAAAAGCAAGTTTAATGCTTCTGTTATCCAGATTGATTGGTCTAGAAACAAAACGGAAGCACAGAGGAGTTCAAGCCAACTGCAGAAACCAAGATGGAATTTCAGAAAACAGCGCCCCAAACCATATTTGCAGCCTCTGCTCTGCTCACCAAGATGAACCCTTTCCTGTAACCCCAAGCAGGGCTTGCTGTACCGAGTCGTGCACTCAACCCCCTGCCTTCCGGGATGGCGAGTGCTGCGGCCCACAGAGCGCTGCCCAGGCACAACTTGCCAGCGCCCTCCCAGCCCGACGTGCGGCTGGAGGGACAGCCACCCCACAGTAACAAAGCCGCTTCTCATACTCATGGGTAGCCAGAGTGCTGTCTGCCTGCAACACCCAAGCTAAAACTTGCACTGGCATTAAAACCAGCCCCATCCGCATCGACTACAGCACAGACTTGCACAGATGGTGTTTCTAACCAGGCAGAACATCAACCGCTTCTTAGAGCTGATGACAGCAGAGCACAGCTTAAAAACTGCAGACCCTTGCTCTGCAGAAGGGTTTAATCACAAACATCAGTCCTAAACCCCCATTTCTCCGGTTGCCGTTACTTTCAAGAGTATTTTCATAGCAGACTCAGACTATTAAGTCCAGTAACAATGTCTGAGCTCCAGGCAGGGCAGAGGAACCTGCGTATATACAGCTGCACGCACAGAAAATGCTGGCAGAGGCATCTCTTGGAGAAAATGGGGATGAAAGCTGTGAGGGGAAGTAAGTCACCATAGAAGGAAGCAGAGTTCTCTGTAAGGGCTGAAAGGGCAATGGTCTGGAACAGAAAGTAAAGCTTCAAGTGTCAATGCAGGGAGAGGAAAAGGACTATGAAGGAGTCCAGCCACTTACTGCCACTGTCCTGGTCAGTGGTCACTTTCCGGCGCCGCAGAACTCGTTCCAGCTCTGTTTCGCTGCTGTCTGTTTCCAGGGACTTTAAGCTTCGGGAACTAGTGGATTTGTTCAATGTTTCCTACAACAAGAAACAGGCATGAAAGGCTCTCTGAGGACATACTATGCCTTGCCAAATGTCCCATATGCACAGTATGAGCACCTTTTAAACGGCAGAAAAGCAACCGTGGTTCTAGACCAGCGTGCAAAGCCCTGTTGTTAGTACAGCAGAGAGCATCTGGGCTTCGCTCACCACTCCTCCCCTTACCTGGATTTATGATGTAGAGATTAACCATTCTTACCTACACCTTTGAGGGCTGACATCAGGCCTAAGATGCTCTGGATCACAGAATCACAGAACGGTTTGGGTTGGAAGGGACCTTAAAGACCATCTAGTTCCAACCCCCCTGCCATGGGCAGGGACACCTTCCACTAGACCAGGTTGCTCAAAGCCTCATCCAGCCTGGCCTTGGACACTTCCACGGATGGGGCATCCACAGCTTCTCTGGGCACCCTGTTCCCGTGCCTCACCACCCTCTTTGTGAAGAACTTCTTCCTGATATCTCATCTAAATCTATCCACTCTGATGTCTGCAGGGAACTGCCAACTTCCTCTATTTTAATATTTAAAGGATCTTAAAAAACTCCTAGAGCATTATCACACCCATAATAATCAAAACACCAGAGATCCACATTTTTACTGCTCTAGCAGATTTTGTATTTCAGCCCAGTCCTGCACTGTTGCATCCTGGTGCCTACACACGTCTGCAGAAGTCAGTACATACCAGCTGCAACTGCAGCACGTTATTACATCCTGTAATCTAACTCATCTGGCATAAACTGGAGCCTGTGTCCACACACTTCATGGTTTCTCTTAAGCACAGGATTAGACCTCGAGTTGAAACTTTATCTTATACATACAAAATAGAAATCCACACTATTACTGCCTATGCCAAGGGTAGTATTTTGAATGAGCTAAGCTGTAAATCCAGCAGCACTTCTCTTAAGGAAATTTAAAAAAAGGCTTTGGTCAAAGCCTGACACCTCCCAAAACTGCCCACACTTCACCATGCACAGTAACTAGATTAGTACCCACTCGACTGTAAAACTCCCCCAAAACATTTATAAGGCAACTGAAAATTTGGGACCCAAATGTGCTACTTTCTCTGAGTCTTGCCATCTTTAGGAATCCCCCAGGAATCCCATTTATTCAACCTTCCAAAACATGCCGTACAGCATCTATCCAGCACATAAAAACCATATTCTCAACATCTTCTGCTGACAAGCACATCGCTTCTGAGCAGAAACAGCAAATGACAAAAAGAAACGGCACTGCAAGTTGCAAAAGCTCTACTACTTTCAATGAGTAATTCTTCACCCCTGCTCAAAAGTTGAAATATCTCCTTTGACCACTATTTGAAGAAGTTGAACTGGGCAGGTACGTTACTAAGGAGCAGTACGCTCCCGACCCACAGAAAGGCACACGAAGGAAAACAGCTGGCACAACGGAGTCACTCGAACTCTGCAATTTCCAGAACGTAAATGTGTTCTGTTTGTAACAATTATATGGAGGTCTACATGAAATGCATAATTAGCATAGTAACAACAAATGTTTACTCCATCACATCCCACCCCCGTGTCTGTTGTCTGACTGTGCATAATGATCGGTCTCGGGAACAGACTGGAATTGGATTTTACACAGTTTGTCCTACACTGCAAATATCCTGAAGGGCTTTGAGGCAAGGAGCTAGATGCAGAAGTATAGTGTGGGCTCCTTTCTGCTCCCTCTGAAGCACACAGTCAAGTCTGCCCTGCTGTCAGTGATACAGTGTCAAAGAAATAAAACAGCTATTAGAGCACAGAAGGGCCTTCAGCACCTCACTCACCCCAACAGCACACCGTATCAAACCAGGCATCTACTTAGGGAGTTCCATTTAAAATAAAACCCCTGTGTCACACGTTATTCCTTTTCTATTTACCTCCATGTTTACTGTGTCCCTCTAGTCAGAGTCCGGCATTAAGGTCTGGGGGCTCCCTAGATCATTTCTTCCCTTCCTCCCCTGCTCTCACGTGTCTGGAGAACAGTAAGCTTAATGTGCCACTGGCATCACACTCGTGATTTTTACCTCACAGACACAGGCTGTGGCTACACTCCTCGCTTTGCACTGTCTTGCATCACCCAACACAATCATAGAGTCACAGAATGGTTTGGGGGGGAAGCGACCTTTAAAGACGATCCAGTTCCAACCCCCCTGCCATGGGCAGGGACACCTGCCACTAGACCAGGTTGCTCAGAGCCTCATCCAGCCTGGCCTTGAATGTTTCCAAGGATGGGGCTTCTACCACCTCTCTGGGGAGCCTGTTCCAGTGTTTCTTGTGCCAAAGAAATGACCAGTTAAATAAGCAACACGACATACGAGGGGAGGGCAGACCAGCAGCAAGTAGCACACTGCTCTGAGCAGGACCAAACACCGGCCTAATGTTTTTCCTTAGTGCTAAATGGGTTTGTGGACAGCTACTCGGATTCATTTTTTCTACACAGAAACGCAGACACACTGGAGACCTCTCGTTCTATTTTGGCTACGTCTATGCTGACATGAAGTGTGGTGCCTCGGGAAAGAGCAGGATTGGAGTGGAGCTGAAGAGGAGAACCCTACATCTACCACGTCGGCCATTCAGGGGCTGTACTTCCAACCAGATTTATTCAGTTGTCCCTCCCTCTCTAAGCATCCCCGCTGTGAGGACTTGGAGAGATTCCAAAGGATCTGTGGTGGGTGCAGACCACAACCACCCCCTCAGCGGCCGGAACACACAAACATGGAGTTAATAGGCCAGTTTTCTCCAACGTAAATTCTTTTAGCAAGACCAAAGCCAACCTTTCAGCTGGACCAAAGTCAAAAGCGGAATCGGGGGGTTCACACCAAACCTGCTGTACAGCTTCAAACCCAAACACTCATGCAGGGCTTACAAACACTCGTTTTGCACAGATGGCCCCCTCCGATCAATGAGAAGCAAAAATTGAAATAAAAACCGACAAGTTTTCTTACCAGAATCCCTTTTAACTCTTTCATTGCACTTTCAGAGGGCTTTGGTGTCTCTGGCTGCAAACAAACACAACACACACGTTAAAAAACACCTGCAACGGACCACGAGTGACTTAGCACTTAAAGACGGACACCACGCGAGGGTCGAGCGCAGAGGCGCGTGGTTCCGCTCGTGCCTCTGCGCTCTCCTCTCATGGGCTCGTGGCTAACATTCAGGCCACCTTCTTCGACAGGTGAAGGGAAGAGCCTTAGCTCCTACACTGTAAAGCACAGCCCAAGATGATGCTTTTGTGACGACGGCAAGCAGGCACATTCAGGTATCAGTGCTAAGTGTTGCACTTAAAAGGAAGAAACCCTGCTAAATGCAGTCTGCTTCTTGGTCACCCCCTTCACTCAAACCAGTTATTCTCTCTGAGCTTTTTGTTTCTCAGTAGCTGTTTGTTTACAAGATGTTTGCTTTCAGTTCCTTTCTGTGCCAAAGAAATTGGGCTTCTATTTATTTATTGATGGCTTTCCTTCTTTTCCTGTTCTTCAGATATATGCTGCTCTAATTAATTTTATTCAAAATCAAGCAAGGCACATGAGCTAAGTGAGGCAAATGGATTCTTTTGAGGGTTTTACAGAAAGCCTGATTTATTTTCAGTGTAAATTACTGTACTTAGCTAATATTACTGCTCTTCTATTTATTCCAAACCTTTGTTTTAGGCCTGCTTGACTGATTGACTGGTCTCAGATGAACTCCCTTTTTAATTCTGTCCATCATTTCTTCGACGGCTTGTCGCTTCAGATCCGTAACTTCTTCACCTGTTCCAAAAATCAAATAGCACGTCACATTCCAGATATGAACTGCAGAGAAATAGTATAAAGAAAACATGCTAAACAGAGAGCCTCCTAAACAGCCAGTTACCATAATCATAAATTAGCTTTAATGATGAAACTGTATGGATAGAAACAACATACTTCATTACACTCCACACAGGAGGTTTTCCTGCACGTGATGCATATTGCTCATGAACTACCCGAATCCATGCTTGTTCTCTGGTTTATTAAACACGTAAATGAAAAGCATAAATATATAGGCATTTTTCTCCCCATAAGTGGACTGTTCACAGGGTCTCTCTTACAGGACCACCATCTCACTCTCAATTTGGGGAGTACAGCGGGAGGTGATTCTGCCTCTCTGCTCTGCTCTCGTGAGACCCCACCTGGAGTGCTGCGTCCAGCTGTGGAGCCCTCAACATCAGAAGGATATAGACTGGTTGGAGCGAGTCCAGAGGAGGCCACGAAGATGCTCAGAGGGCTGGAGCCCCTCTGCTATGGGGACAGGCTGAGAGAGTTGGGCTTGTTCAGCCTGGAGAAGAGAAGGCTCCGGGGAGACCTTATACCACCTTTCAGTACCTGAAGGGGCTACAAGGAAGCTGGGGGGGACTTTTTACAAGGGCCTGTAGTGACAGGACAAGGGGGAATGGGTTTAAATTGAAAGTGGGGAGGTTTAGCTTAGGTATCAGGAAGAAGTTCTTCCTGGAGAGGGTGGTGAGGCACTGGCACAGGTTGCCCAGAGAAGCTGTGGATGCCCCATCCCTGGAAGTGTCCAAGGCCAGGCTGGATGAGGCTTGGAGCAACCTGGTCTAGTGGAAGGTGGCCCTGCCCATGGCAGGGGGGTTGGAACTGGATGGTCTTTAAGGTCCCTTCCAACCCAAACCGTTCTGTGATTCTATGATTTTCCACACCACAGCAAGGCACTTTACCTTACACTGCACACATCCATAGCGTAAGCAGAAACCAGCAACCTCATCTGTAGTTATCAGGAATTCTAGTCTCTAGATACAGCACGATCAGGTGATCATTGCTACCAGCTAAAGTGTCGCAAGCTCTTCAAGGACAAAATGCCAACCTACACACATCGAGGATGCAGCCGTGGACTCTGCAAACCCCAAACCCCAAAGCCTGACGACGTTTGGACAGCGGCTCAGCCCACATCCTGATAAACACAAGGCTCCCATGACTGTCTGGGAACTGCAAAAGCTCAGTGCTGTAGGCTGAAGCACCAAGACTGAAGAACACGGCCCCACTCCCACCGTATCTCTTCACAGTGGCTGAGCAGAGATTTCCACAGCTCCACTGACACAGGACAAGTTGGTAACAGCCCATGGTGAGGCCTATATGCAGCCCATCACAAGACTACCAGTCACATCCTGTATTTCACCTGGGTTTAAGAACCAACATCTCGGGCTGAACTAAAACCACACATTTAAAGAACACTGCATCGAGTTAAAGGACAAAAACTTAAGAAAACAGCTGCTTTTTTCAGGAGATTCAGTATCAGGACTGCAAAACATTCAGATGAAACGGGAAGCTGTGTGATGAACCTAAACAATACCTGTTAACTTATCAGTGTTCTGGGTAATGTAACAAAAGACACTTAACGTGTCATACCAAAAAGGGATATAAAAAAGAGCACTTAAAGCAAATACATGGTGAAATACAGTTGACACTATTCAAAGCTGCAACGCTGTACCTTATATAACAGGAATTTTAAATAGACTTGCGCTCTCTCACTTGTCAGGGTGCTATTGATGATTCACAGAAGTGCAGTTTCTGTATTGTAAGCCGATTAAACGTCAGGCCTTAATTTCACAAACAGGCTGTTTCAAATATAAAAGCTTAATTGGTGGTATGGGATAGAAACCACTCATTCTGAGTCCTTAATAAGGGTCAAAACAAGCTTCAAGTTGGATATAACCACCAGATCAAGAAAGAACTTTCCCCCTTTTTTGTATTTTTATTTTAAGAACAGCTCAACTATTAAGAGAAGCAGCAGCTTATATGTGATTGAAGAAAGGTCAGAACTGTTAAACTTTGTTAATAAATAATGAAAGAATGGGGTGTAGAGAACTTTTAGTGAATTTCATAGTATTTCCTGCAATCACTGTAACAGTCTCAACAGAAAGGTGTAATCAAAACACCTAGGACACTTCAAGGGAAGGAAACTTGATAAATGAAGGCAACATAATTGAACTTTTTGTGAAAGATAAGACTGACTCTTCATCAGAGATCTCAGTACAAGGTCAATCCTCTAATTATTTCACCCAGACCAACAACCTTCCTTCTCTCAGACCAGCAACCAGCTCCCAAAGATTCCCTGAGCAACCTGCTCAAGTCACCCCACTCCTCAGCTCCTCATCTGAAAAACGGAGGGGTAATATTTCCTTTCCCCCACGCTCTGCCTCCCGGTCCCACCCAACAACCCAGCCATGCTTACATACCACTGCAGTCTGCTATCAGCTGTTTTTTCTTTAACAGTTATACCCTGCACCTATAATTTCCGCCAGGTTCCTCTGCAGCCCCCTTCCTTGTTTAAGTGGCAGCAAATGAGTTAAGCAATTCACTATAAACAAACTCCTGCTGTTTCGGAAGGAAGAGAGAAACAGTGAGAAAAACCTTGGTTATTCAGCTGGCAGGGCTTGTCTAACTAGCTCGGACTCTTCAGGCACTCATGGTCATTTGTTAATCTGTACTTAACTCCTGTTCTCAACCCACTACGTTTCCAGCTTCCATTAGCAACAATAAAATGCCATTTCAGCCATTATTTTGCGTGCAGAGCCACCTTAGTGCAAAATTCTGTCTTGTTTTAGGTTTTCAGTATTATTAAAGGATTAGCATTGCAGTCAACTCTGAGTGGTAATTTCTTAAGATATGAATTGAGGGGTGAAAACTGAAGCATTTAACAAACCAGCTCTGCTGAGAGGCTCTGGACAGAAGAAATCAGAAACAAGAAGCCATCTGCGAGTTGGAAACTTCCCTGTATTATCCTGCATATAACCTGCTCTCTGCTTAACGCTTGTTGGGTTTGCTCTTCTGCCTCTTCCAGCTAACCTGTGGAAGAGCGAAGCCCTGGACACGCTGTAGCTGCAGCTACCAGCTGTAGTATCTCCAGTGTAGAGGCACACGTTGAGCCTCTCAATGCTGTTACAGTGCCACTACCACAGGCAGTACCAAACTGCCAGGGTGCAACTCAACAAGCTGCACAGAGTCAGTGCAACAGGCCGGGGCCCTGAACAGATCGATCCTGTTCTCCAAACCTCACCCAGCACATCCCCACACCTACCCTAAGGGCTCTTCTTGCCAGCTCCTTCTGTGAGCCTGTCATAAACATGACCACCCTCTTCCCAAGGGTAAAAAAGAAAAGTAAGCTTCCCTGCCACATCACTGAATGAAATCAGCTCAGTGACATATCTGATAAGCACGAGAGCTAGATGCAGGAAGACAAGACCTTCTTCTCAGTTACAGCAAGGGCCAGGTCTTCCCTTAGGGTTTTTGATGTGCAGCCTCAAAGATTGTTCACACTAAAATCCATTTGGAAAAAATGAATTGGATTCTGATCACCTGCTCAGTTGCTTGGGATCTGGAGGAAGCCTGTAGTACCAAAGCTACAGTGCCAAAGACACCACTTCCTACTTCTGAGCACGTACGAGGGGGCTGCAGTCACGTTTCTGGGCTGCAAGGTAGATGAATGCGCTGGGACGTGGAGAGCAGTTGTTGATGTTGACAATTAAAGAGCATTTGTATCACTATCTGTACCCACAGTTCACTGTCACTGGCTTTCTCTGCGGTACCGAGTGCATAACCCGCAGGGCGTGAGAAGGGATGAGCCATACCTGACTCCTGCTGGGGAGGCTTCTCCTTCTTGCTCACATTGGTGTTGGAGTGAGATCTCTTGCGAATCATTGACATGAGAGACCTTTAGGGAAAAGGAAACGGCAGGCTGTCATCCTGTCCTGTATTGCACACCGCGAGAATGAGCTGGAACATGGCAAAGAGCTTGCTTCGACCTGATCATGCAGCTACTTACGAAAGACTCAGCACTTCTTGAATGTAGATGTACAGACTGAATTACCACCCCCCAAGTGCTTCCCACCAAAATGCACCAGAGAAATTTATCTCTTTTTAAGAGACACTAGGCACAAGGCAAAACACTCCAAATCTGAATATTAAAAGACAGTGTCTCATTGTGACACATGACACACTGAAGCTGCTCCAGCGTAACAAAAGGAAGGAAGAGCTCTAGATATTGAAGTATTATTCTCCAGAGGACACTTAAATATGGTGATTGGTATCTCCTCACCAACTCCAAGTCTGTAGCCTTCTTACATGTCAAATCATTATCCCTTCACTACAGTCAAAATGTCCAGGCAAGGAAATGATTCATCTTAAAGCCCAACTATAAGCTCCTCTGCGCATCTGATGTGTCAGTGGGGTCCACTCCTCAGAGTGACCTCCCTGATGTAAAGGATCAAAACTCTGCCCCAGAAAACAGCAGCACGCAGTGCCTACGCCCTGAAACCACCTCTATGCACATAAACCTCACAGTGCCTGAAGGAAACACTCTGATTCAGCTACTACAGGGCTTAAAATTGTTATCTATTCCAAATAATAAAGGGCACAAACTTAAACAAACTAAAAGAAACAAAACAAAACCCACAAGGTAACATGCTCACACAGTTAATTATTCATGCTGCACATTAGCGAGAAAGAAGCAAGCAAGCCAAATGAATTAATGGACGTAGAAGAAACAAAAGACCAAACAAAACTGTTTAATAAATGTTAAGTTTGGACTTCTAAAAACAAAGCAAAATGCACAAAGGGATGAATTCTCTCTAGTAATCATCTACCTGAGTGGTTAACAAGATTCCTGTAAGCAATTTCTATTACAGAAGGTTAGAAAGTGTCATCAAAGTCCATTTATTTTTAAAACCAAGCAGCCAATATGAAGATTAGCTGAGATCCTAAAATTAACTAAGCACACTTTAGGGCTCAGTTAGTTAATTTGGGTCTAATGCCTGATCCATCACATACTGGTCAGCCTCTTTTACAGTCCTTGGCAAAAATCAGGCCTAACTTTGATAATTTTGCCCAAAACTGCTTGATGATGGGGTGGCAATTTTGTGGGTTTGGGTTTTTTTTCTTTTTAACTTACAAAAGCCATTGTGGGAACTCAAGGGAGCGTGCATTTTCATCACCAGCATCCGACAGCATGGGAAATACAGTAATCCAACATATCTTTTGGTTCAAAGGGGTTTTCTTAGGAGGATATGCAGACAAGCACTTCACAAGTCTATAATTACGGCTCTCAGGTGAACAGAAAGAAATAATCTCCTAAATTCAGAGGAGACAGGTATCCCTCCTCCTCCAAAGTCACAGTCTAGACAATTCGTTAGGCTTGGCACGGCAGGCACGGATCACAGTTGGTCAGGGTTAGTCTGTTGGCAGGTGGGGCAGAGAGCGTGTCCGGCTGGTGAAGAGCCCAAACCAGCTGGAGAAAGCCTTGTTTTCTTTGAAGACACCTTTCCTGCTTGGATGCAAGCTCATGGAATGTACTCTGCTTTGGCAAAGCATTAATGCTGTGACCCTTGGTTTAAGCACTTACCGTATAGGGTTCGGAGGAGGGGGAGGAGGAAGAGGAGGCGGGGGCGGCGGTGGAGGCGGCGGTGCAGGATTTTCAGACTGTTGTATTCGCTTTTGAAGCTCATCGACTGCACAAGAGCAATAAAGCAAACCGGAGTGAGTTCTCAGTTTCTCACATCTGCTCTAAAAAACAGTTCTGATGGTTTAAGAAGAAAAGCTACTAATTAACTAAAACCAAACAAGACTAAACCATGCAATTGCTACAAAGTCCTATTTTTGGCAACATGTTCTAGCAAGAGAACGTCCTAGATGCACCGGATTCTCATTAAACCAACCTGAGTTACTCCTGAATGTAAAATAATGCTCTCCCTCACACAGGGTTCCTCCCATAAAATGAGAGAGCAGGGAAACGTTTATCACAGTCCCACTACGGTCTGTTTGAGGCTGCTTGGGAATGAACTAACAAGAGACAAGAACAGTGAACCATTTCAGCTTCCAGCCCTATCTCTGTGTCTTGCTGATTGACTTTGGTGTGGTCACGCCCCACAAAAATAGCCAAAACTGGGCAGTGAGCAGAATGCGTTCTTCCTCTCCTGTTTTTGTCTCAGATCTACAAGCTGGAAATTACTTTTCTGCACTTGAAATGCTGTTAGATGCAGTTAGCTGGGGAAGGGCAGAAAGAGAGGAAAAATAAAGTCTTAAATTGCTTTTAGTTACAAAAATCCTTAGCCATTGCTTTTGAATACAATAGGAATTCTGGCAGAAGTATAGAATATGAAAAAAAGAAAGAAAACACAAACAAACAAAACAAAACAAAAAAAAGAACAACCCCCAGACCCTCACATCAGCAGAAACTGTTTTCTCACATGTCAATATGAAGGGCTAAATCATGTCTTTATTTCCACTGGGGTCTTCTATTGCAAGGCTATTAAATGGTTGGGTAGCTGGATAATTATGGGATGATTTTGTACAATTCATACAATGCAGACTCCACAGTCTGATAAATCACTGTGCAACTTCAGGGCGGGGGGGAAAAGGAGCAGAGTTAGTCCATTTTATTTATTTTTAAAACTAGGTAAGAGGATGCATTTTAACTGAATGTGGATGATGTCTTTCACGCAGAAACCCATTCAGTTGTAAAATTCAGAGCAATCTAACCACAGTATTGTTGTATCTCCCAGAGGTTTTACAAGGTTATTCTTTCACACCCATTCTGGACAGGACTGTTCTGTGGTTGAGGGCAGCTGCTGAACTTTGGCATGTGAAGGACAGCTCTGGAGTTCACCTACACAACAGCTGCTGCTTCCTGGAGCTCAAACATGTATAATTCTATTCGGCATGCACCACGCATCCCCCGAGCTGTATCTCTAAAATGAAAGGTATTACATGGTTTTACCTGAATGCTTTAGGTCTCTCGCTTTTTCTTCTGAGTTCTGACACTTAAGCTCTAGTTCCCTTTTATCTTCTTCCAAAAGTTCTAGTTGCTGTTTAAGACGACTAATCTCCTTATGCAGTGCCTGATTCTCTAGCTGCTCTTCCAATTCTTTGATCTGCAGGGGAAGAACAATAGCATTCATTACAAGAAAAGGTATTTTCTGTCCTCCCATTAGGCACAGTTATTCCTGAAAACATGATGTTACAGTATAGGAGTGAACTGCAACACCCAGAAAGAGGACGGTTTTTGAATGAGAGCTGGAAAGATTTTTCTGAGAGATGTCAGCATTTTCTATTATGATTCTAACGTGTTTTATCTCCTTTTTTAGAACACATCTTTAGCTGCAAATTACTTAAGCTAGAAGATGTTCCCTTTTTCTTTTCACAGAGTTTTTATCACATAATTAGAACTTATTTTGAGTGTTTCTTCATTTGAAGCACGAGTACATTGACATTTTTGTTCTCTTACTGACTGCTTCCGCTGATGGGTTGGTTATTTAACCTCCCTTGTCTCAACCCCTGCAGATGCCAGTGGGTGAATTACGGAACATCAGGTCCAGAGGCAGCATTCAGGTGCTGAGTGGCAATCCCTTCCCGACTCTCTAAACACATACATTTTGCCCTAGGCTTCAAGGAGCTGAAGATGCAGAGGTTTTCTATGCACTGGCAATTAGCTTTCCAAAATACTCATGCACAAGCACGAGACAACATCTAGTCTTACAATTGCCACACCGATTAAAGCACAGGAACTGTGTACCTCTTCATACCATTACTCTCTTACCAGGGTTTTAAGAACAGGTCTCACAGCTGAGGGAAAACTCTTTTTTAGGCTTTCAAGTGAAGCAATGGTGATTTCTCCCAGTTAGAGACTGACTTAGGCCAGTTTCAAGGAGGTATTTGTTTAGACCCCAGCCCTTTAGATCCTATCACACCACTTTGCAGCATTCACCTAACACTGCCCTGGCCCAGTATATCTGGCTCTTCCACAAGTGCTTCTTTAGCAAGTGACTAATAACGTGAACTGCCTTCCTCTCACCTCCTGGTCTTGTTAGCTGATGCCCCAAAATACCCCTTATAGTACTCAATGGCCAAAATATTCTCCTGTCACCTTTTCTTCACTTAATGGAACTTCATGTAATTCTTGTAATTAAGCCTGTACTTTACTGGCATCCAGAATAAAATATTTAACTAAATCAGAGCCTTCAGGCTGAAAAATCTTCAGGTTTTATACTCATGTCTCACCATTAAACCAGAAGAAGGGAATCACAGTCTTCTCTGAAGTTTAGTTTTTAGACTGTAAACTACCTGAGGGACAAGATCTCAAATAATTCTCAATATAACAGATACATGGTACTCCTTAAACTGAGGAGGCTTTCAAAGGCTTCTGCACGAGATGAAAAGTAACCCTGCTTTACCTTTTGTTGGTGCTGAAGCCTCTCTTCTTCTAACGTATGGGTTAGCTTAGCGTTGTCATCCAAAGCCTTCAAAAGCTGTTGGTCAGGAGCAGAATTCTGCAGAAGCAACTGACTTTGCCTTTTCATCTTGTTTTGTTCAATAAACATCTGCCGAAACAAAACACACCCCCAAGAAAAACAATAGTTAAGCACAATCTAATGCTAAGGAATATGGGAATTGGAAAGAAAACGAAAAAATTAACACTGTGTGGCTAGGACAGACGCAGAGGGGAAGAAGGTGAGAAGGAAGGGGAAAGGAAGCTTGAGAGCAGAATTTGCAAGAGCTAAGATCACACTGAAAGGAGCCAGGTGTTTGCTCAGAGAACCACCCGCTGCTACACCTCAATTACCCACATGTTGGCAGCATTCAGAACGTAAACGCATCCCCGAATTTTGTTTCCTGGAGATAGGAACAATCTGATCCCTATTCTCGGAGCTCTGAAGAGATTAAAAGAACTCTGGGTGGAGGAAAAAAAGGTCTATGAATTCACAAGCTATCTCCTCAAACCCACGTACAAGCCTTGGCATAAAGCCCAGTTATTTGAGGGTTCCCTGGATATATGGGTTACAGGAAATAAGTTTCAGTCCATGTTTGTGTAATAAGTGTATGCACTTGCCCCAGGAAGAGGCATTTCAGGGAAACTTCCGCCTTCTACTTCTGATGCTTGCATTTTTTCCTCTTCCCCACTTATATCTTTGATGTGGGGAATGGATACAATGCTAGGGGGGAATAATCAAATAGTCTAAAGCCATGACATCGATAAAACCATCACACATTTCTCTAGTCTTCACTTAAGAGGTACAGAGGCTGTCAGCACATGCAGTTCCCATGAGAGATCTGCTCCTTCCAGACTGTTTAGGAACTCAAGGAAAAAGATTGCTTCCTGCCAAAAAAAAAACAAACCCAAAAAAAAAATCCTACTGAATTTATTCAGTAAATAATAAATAATTTATTATCTTGACACCTCTCTCAGGTAGAGGGCTGCCCCCCGGGGCAACAAGGGCTCCCATTCTTGACAAACTCCTCTACGCCTCTTCTTAGGGCAGAAACCAGGGCTGGGTCAGGCGGAGGTTTCAGCTGAGTGTGCACAGGTCAGCAAAGCTGCCACTTACAGCAGAAGAACAGCCTGAGAGCGCAGGCGCTCCCGCAGACTGTACAGACACTGCGGGACAGCACAGCAAAAGAATGAAGGTATTTTAAGAGTTGGGCTTGTTCAGCCTGGAGAAGAGAAGGCTCCCTGGAGACCTTATTGCAGCCTTCCAGTACCTGAAGGGGCTACAAGGAACCTGGGGGGGACTTTTTACAAGGGCCTGTAGTGACAGGACAAGGGGGAACGGGTTTAAATTGAAAGTGGGGAGGATTAGATTAGATATCAGGAAGAAGTTCTTCCTGGAGAGGGTGGTGAGGCGCTGGAACAGGTTGCCCAGAGAAGCTGTGGATGCCCCATCCCTGGAAGTGTCCAAGGCCAGGCTGGATGTGGCTTGGAGCAACCTGGTCTAGCAGAAGGTGTCCCTGCCCATGGCAGGGGGGCTGGAACTGGGTGGTCTTTAAGGTCCCTTCCAACCCAAACCATTCTGTGATCCTACGAAGTATCAGAAATACCAAAGTTCCATAAGATCTTTTCAGGGTCCCATACTATTTATTCACAAAGCAAAATTACAGACACAACATATGGTTTCTTCCCGTTCAGTGCTACTGCACTGCTACAGGATTTATTTATGTTTTTAATATAACTGAATTTTAAAGAAACAACAGCTGATGCAGGTTTGTGGCAAGTATTCCACCCAGTACTTTGCACAGGCACTTCAACTGAGTCCTCTTAGCAATCAGCTCTCTCTCTAGGTGTACATCCAGACCGAGAAGCCTGCTGACCGTGCTGAACTCTTAACTCACAGCGCAGCCTGCTTGACCCTGCGTGCCAAGAGGAGCCAACTGATGCGGCCTTAATGCTAATAAAACCTACAGTGAACACTTCGTTGGGCAAAGCTGTGCCATGGGGGGAGGCAATAAGGGGCTGGAGGTATTCGATGAAGAGGAAAGATGAATACGGGATCCAGTACGACACTCGGTTATAACACAAAGAAAAACAAATTTATGACAATACTCCGCTGCGGCGTGGAGCAAATGTGCACTGGACATCAGCTACTCAACCCAAAATTTTGCCAGTCAAACTAGGTGTGCCTGCATTACCTTGCACTAGTAGGGCTGTGGCACAAAGAATTCAAAGGCAAGAGAAGTTCATAATCAAAACTACTCACCCTAGTGCGCCAAGGTTTGCCTTTGTATGGCAACTCATCTAGCTGATTTAATGTTTTATCTCCTTAAATGAAACAGCATCTTTGAAACATCACACTTTAGAAAGGCCTGTAAATCACTGCTACAGAACCCAACGTTGACCTCAAAGCCTCCTGCTTTCCCGTTAAGTCAGCCAAAAGCTTTTGAACCCTGACAGAAACATCCCCCTGGAAGCCACCTCTAGCCAACATCGCAGTTCACCCACCGTGAACTTTCAAACCCAAGTGAAAACTTGGGCTCCATTTTTTTAGAATCTAAAATATAGTTTGAAGTGGTAATTCCAGATTTTTGTTCCAAGTTTCTGCCACTAAAACCAACGGAATAGAGTTGATACAGCCTGAGGGAGGAGAAAGCTGCTAAAACAAGAAGAAATCAAGTAGAGCAACCTGATGTCTTAAACTTGAGCAGATACTTTACCAAATGTACAAAATTCATATTCCCTTTATTCATGCTCCTCTGCAACATAATTTAAAGAATCCTCTTGAAGAACTTGGTGAAAACCTTTTCATTCAGAAGTGTTCACATGAAGTCTTGCACCTTCAATTAGCTTTACAAATTGCTTTCAGGACATTGCAAGTACGTTCCTGCTTACAGTATATGTGAAAGTGTCTTCACAACCACAAAATAAAACCCCTTTGTTACCTATAACTTAATGTTGCAATCAGATATATGCGAATCAGTTTCTCATGGGGAGTCCCATCCATTTCAGAAGTTACTTGTCCTTGAAACACCAGCACATTCAACATGGAAGAGACAAAACTAGACAAGATGGTTGTGGCAGATAAAGCAGAGAGAGAGCTAGTGAAGAACTGATTGCAAGGTTTGGAGAGGTTGCTCTGTGTGTTTGACATGGGACAAAAAAAAAAAAAAAAAAGACTCTTAGAAATTAATTCTAATTTAAAACAATCACTCACTGCATCAGCAGGGCAGAAACCTGACTGCCTGCACAACCCTGAATATTAATTAAAGTGACTGCTGAAAGGGCAAAACAGCTACTAACAGGATTATTTGGGCTAGGTGGAATTTAACTAATTGATGGATTAATTCTGACTTTGCCACCTGCTAGACAATTATCTGCAGAGCATCCCAATCAATGCTAGAAACGCAAGTCGATGCCAGAGGAATCTACTGAAACCGTGACTGAAACTAAGGCAGATCACTAAGGCAATAGTTTGCTCACATCTAGCATTTTCCTTCACAAAATCTCCGAGAGTTGTGCAAACCGGCTACCTGTGTTTCCCTTGTGCCTTTACAAACAGAGCTCGGAAGTGTGGGAAATCGGGGACTTGGTCACTTTCCATCAGCAGTCTGCACAAGAATTGGGGCAGGGGAAAGAGAAGGGGCTGAAATCCTGAAAATAAAAGAAGTTTTTCCCTTGACCTTAATGGGGCCACACCTCATTCTCAGACCCCTGCTCTAGCCATTACCCTACAGAGCGTTCGCTGCAGCTGTTTTTTGTTTACACCCGAGCTGAAAAAGGAATTCTTCCTCATTAAAAAAGTTAGAAAGCAACTCCGTTAGTGTCAAGTCCCTGGGAACTTTGATCCTTGTTCAAGTAGTGTTCAGGGTATTACTGGATGCTTTCCAACTAACTCCTCTCCCAGGAGCAAAACAAGGCCCAAGGAAACACCTTAATATCCATATGTTGCTACATTTCCATCTCTCTATCGTTTTGGAATTCCACTATGTGGAGTAACTTTTTAGTCCTCGCTACAGTTTGAAGGGAGAAGAATGTCTCGATACAGCAGCACTGTTATAATAAGGTAATCATTGGTTGCATAAAATAAAATAAATAACAGTGGCCAAAGCTACCCTCTAGGCATAACAAAAGGGATGTAGCAAGGCAGAGTCAAACTTGGGAAGCCTCAGCTGAGCAGTTGGCTCTGATTTCAATCCTTGGCAGCACTGCTCCATCCTCTCCAAATCCTAGTGAGAAATCAGTAAGTCATCTTTACGGAGCCATAACCCACTCATGTGCGTGTCAGAGTTTACAGGAGCTGATGCCTTTTGCATTATGTGCACCACGAAGCCTTATAGTCTTGCGTCCAGTCCTGAAATAAGTCCCCACAGAGGTCAAGGTACTTGTGTCTCCCAAACAGGCTGTTTGAAGGATTTTATGTGATGGGGCAGGGAGGAGACAGAGTTATCTCATCTGTTTATGTCTTGACAAAGCACTGAGCGACTCCAAATTCAGGAGGCACTCAGTTTTAAATATAAACCCAGGTGTGGATTTTAGTTCAATGGCTCATCAGGAAAAAAAATATTACTATTTTTAGTAGTATAGCTACTACTGTATTACTACCTTTGTAACTGCTGAACTGTGCTGCATTATCATGGACACCTAGGCTTGTGAGCTTCACCGTGTATAAATATTACAGCAGGAAACAACGTCTAGTGGGTTTTTTTTGGACACAGTTGAGAAACAGATGTTCCTTATTAAAACACATTAAGAAACACACCTATTGTTTGGACACTGACCTAGAAATGCTCTCTCTACACTCGTGCTCAATGCTGCACATCAAGCAATGATATCAGCCTTGTACAAGTTACGACGAGTGGTTTAGCGGGCTCAGGGCTGTCTGAAGCGTTACTCAGGGAAAAAAGCTCCAACAAATAAACGGGTTCTGCAGTTAGGACAATATCCAGAAAACTTACTTCAGCACACGCTTAATTTTAAGCGCATGTGGCATCACTCTGACCCCAAAATTTTGTATCTCGTGCTTACATTCTTCCCAACCCGGGAACTGCTTATATAACCGTCACGTGATGTCAGACAGAAGATGACCCAAATTGCCAATACCAAGGGCATGGA